TCCTCTCCTCAGCTTTCCCCAGCAAGGACTGAACAAGGGGCACACAGAGGCACGCAGGGCCATCACTCCCCGCCTGAGTCCGCGTCCAAATAGGTTTGCAAGTCGGGCTGCGTGGTGCATACTTACAATCCCACTACTCTGGGAGATTGAGGCAGGAGGACCACAAATCTGAGGTCACCCTGGGCAACTTAGTGAGACTTCGTCTCAAAATAAAAAAATAAAAAAAGACTGGGGTAGCAGCTCAGTGCAAAGGCCCTGGGTTCAAACCCCGGTACTGTAAAAAAGAAATATGTTTGCAAATTGGATCAGTCATTGGACAACCGTTCAGTAACCACATTTTAAAATGCCGTGGAATACACCTGCAGCCCCAGCTGCTCAGGAGGCAGAGGCAGCAGGATTAAAGAGCTCAAGGCCAGCTGGCAAAATCAGAGAGACATAATGTTGTCTTTCCCGTGGCTAGGACCGAGAACTTGGAGCTGGCCAGAGTCCTGCTCTCTGGGTCCTCATCAGACAAGCACAGGGAAAACCCCGCCCAGGTCATTTCATGTTCCTTGTGACGCCCGTCTTTGAACAACTAACACACTTTGAAATGTCCACCAGGGAAGTAGCCGGGAGTGTTAGGGGTCAGCCTTCCAGGGAGGACTGCCCAGCAGTGAGGGTGTGTTAGTGGGTACCTTGGCAGTTCTGAGCCTCAGTTTACTCATGTGTAAAACGGGCTGTTGCCATCAGAGGAGCTGGGAAATGCAGGTGAAGCACTTGGCAGCCCTGGGGACCTACACCTGGCTTCTCCATCGGTAGAGGCTCTGCTGCTTCCGCCTTGGGCTATCCAGGAAGTAGCAGGTGCTTGGCCGTGCAAGGCAAGGAACTCAAGTCTCTGCCACCTGTGACCTTAGGCAATTCGCTCTCCTCTCCCAGCCACAGTTTCCTCATCTGTGAAATGAGAGCACGAATATAACAACAAAGAAAAGAGGCTCACTGCAAATGTTAAAAAGTGAAATGGCTGCTGAGCTGCATCCTTGGCGGGGAGAGGAGCAAAGACTTCTTGCTTCAGGAAAACACCGTGATTAATGTTTTTGTTGTTACTGTGAAAACAGGGAGGCCCTGGGCATAGCCTGCATGGGAAGCATTTATTACACATCCCCAAAGTGATGAACAGCTTTATAGAAAGGGCTATCAGCATTGATCTCCCCTTCCTCCTGGGCACTCTCTAACACAGAGAAAATATGCATATAAATTTTAATTCTTCAAGGGCAAAGAGATAGAGAGGAAAACTGCGGCACTGTGGTGGAAGGCAGGGCTTGTTGGAGGAACGGACAGCTCAGGAAGAGCAGAGGAAATGACAAGGCACAGAAGGGAGGAGGGCTGCAGTGAGAAGAAAGTGAATGAGTCCCAGAGCCCCCTAAGCCCATTACTTAAGGGGGAGTAAGTGGAGGGGACAATGGCAGGGCGTTGAGAGGCAGCTGTCAAGGGCTTAGCCTGGAGCCTCCTGCAGGAAATGCATTCTCCAAAGATGGTGAAGAGGCTGCAGCAGAGGACCGGACAAGACACTGGGCTAAAAAACAGGGTATTGATGGAAGTCAGCCTTCTGCATGGTCAGAGCATCCTTCTGGCCCCACATACACTAGCTCGTTCCTATATTTCAAGCATAGCATCCCAGCTGTCAGACTAATTACTGGAGGGATTTGTCAAGGAAAAAGACTAGCACTGCTGTCACTTGTGGAGGTCCCAGCAACATAGCTTCCCCCGCAAATATCCCAATGGACAGTACACCCCAAAAGCTCTCACTCATACTGCAGAGCCTCTTAGCAGCCTTAGGAGCTTCTTTGTCTTCAATACTAATGCAGTGCAAATGGGCATTAGGTACATGAGGAAAGCCCCCATGAGAAACAGAGATACCAAGCAAAAAAGATTTAAAAAAAAAGAAGAAAAAAAAAAAAAAAAAAAAAAAGAAGCAGGAAGAAATACTGTTCCTGTAAGTTGAATTAGGAATGAGTCACTTGGCCGAGAATGATTTTTGTCAAGACACAGACACATAAGGAAAAAACATATTGCTTATTGTTATGGTTGTTACACAGCAAAAGCTCAATGATACAATTCACAAAACAAGAGTAGAATGCTATGATGCTTTGATCAACTGGAGAACAATAAAGAGAACTTGAAATTTAGTATGGTGTAGGTAAAATAATTTCAGTAATAGATTTGGAAAATAAATCATAGAAATAACTTCAAGGGGATGATGGGGAGAATAGAAGATAGAAAATACGGTGGGGGAAAATGAGCATAAAGACAATTTAGGAGGTCTAACATCTAACCTAAACCCATTAAAAGAGGCAAAAAAGGAACAAAAAATCCAGACAACGGAGGAAAATTTCAAAGACCAAAAAAGCAGGAAGCAGAACTGTTCCTGTAAGTTGAATTAGGAATGAGCCACTTGGACCAGAGTGATTTTTGTTGAGATGCAGATACATGAGGAAATTGGACAAAGTTTCCCCGAACTACAGATTTTAAGTCACCAGATTGAACAGGCTTACCATGGAGCAGTAAAATGCATGATAAATAATCTATAGAACACATATCATCATGTAACTCCAGAAGACCAGAGGTAAGGCGATGTTCCCAAAAGCTTCTAAAGAAGAATTAAAATGTTATATATGATGAAACAGAAGTCAGAATGGTATTAGTGTTTATGTTTCTCTCGAGGTCAACCTAGGATGCAAGAAGGCAAGCAAAACTGCCTTCCACAATCTGAGGTCAATGATTTTCAACAAATAAATTTCTAGTTGGCTAAACTCAGTCAAATGTGAGGACCTTTTCAGGCATGTAAATTTTCAACATTTACTTACAGTGCATCTGTCTTTAGGGAAATATAAGAGAATGTGCTCCAGTAAAATGAGGGAGTAAAACAAAAAAGGGGATATGCTAGCCAGGAAATGGCAGATCCAAATCAGGAGAATGAGAACAATGGGGGAAAAAAAACCCTCAAGAAGGAATGGAATGGACAGCGGTCAGCTGGGTGGGCAGCCCAAAAGCTTTGAGGAAAAGGAGGTTCAGCAGGGTGGATGATAAGTTGGACAGCATCACAGAGCATATGAAAAAACTCACAATATGTATGTGGGACATTGTGATGTGTAAAAATTCAAAGTGATTACTAACCCATGGAAAAAGAAAAGTTGCTCAAGAAGAAAAGTTAATCGTTATATAATGATGACTCTTAAATGAATAATGTACAGGGCCATGAATATAGTCACAGACTTACTGTTTTAATAAAGGTAGTGACATAAATATCTTGGAAGGACAGGAAGAAGGAGGAATATTGGGTGTTGAACATATTCATGTGTTTCCAAGGGCACTGAATTCACATTTACCATAAGAGGAGACTAATGTGCAATATCTAAAAATCAATCAATAGACCAGGGATATAGCTTGGTGGCACAAGCACCCGCCTGGCAAGCGCAAGTCCTGAGTTCAATTTCAGGTAGCAAAAAAAAAAAAAAAAAATCAATCAACAAAAATGCCAATGTATGCCTATCACTTAAAAATATAGAATCATTTAGAAGAAATAATGTTAAAGGTTTAAGTAATTCTTTGGGAGATGGAAAGGAAGGAACAGGGTCTTCTCAATACTCTTCTTTCTAGTTATATTCTTAGAACCTGTGCTTTTGATTCAAATGTTGAAAAATCAATGCAAAGAAACAACAGGGGTGGAGGCAGAAAAGAAGGGTTGGGAGGGAGGAGTCTCACAGTGGCCATGCCTCTCGCCCATGGAGTTGCTGAGCGGAGAAGTGTCCCCCAGTGGGAGGCTGTGGGGCCCCTCACCCCTCTGGTCACTCCGACGTCTTCCTCTTCCGTGTAAGCCTGTAAATGTGGTCTGGGGGAGCAAGGGGCAGGGCCAGGTATGCAGTAGACAATGTAGGGTGTGGGTGGGAGTTCGCAGCTGCAAAGCATGACAGATCAGGCCCCTTCTCCTCTTCACACTGGAAGAAGGAGGCTCTTAGGAAGAATCAGGGCCTTATTCTGGAAAAATTTCACATTCTGCTATTCAGGGCATGAGGAAGTGGTGACCTCGCTCCCCACTGCCATCCTCCTCTGCATATCAAATGACACCATGAGGTGAGGTACACTCCAGGCAGTGACATCGTGGTCTTTGGTGTCACTTCCAACCCCGCCTCCGGTCTCCCCTTATAATATAGCAAGCTTAACTGTCCTGTCTTGAGCACCTACTGTGCACCAGGCAGACACTCTACCTCTCACCCTGGGGCGGTAGATGATATGTGATCTCAAGGGAGACAGGAGCTGGTCAGCCAGGGATGTGGGGAGGGGTGGAGGCACCGGTATGCAAAGATCTGGGGCCCGTGGGGGCCTAGCTGCACCTCGGGCTCCCACTGGGAGAGCAGGAGAAAGAGGCTGGAGTCAGGCGAGAGGCTGGCTCATTAAGAACAACAGGGCTTCCTTCTCTTAGCCACGGAGACACCTGCAGGGATGGCAGGCACAGGAGCGAGTCTGACTGCAGAAAGTCCTCCAGAAATCCAGTGTAGATGGCAGACCACGGGGCCAAGATGGGACAGGAAGCCAGGAGGCCGACGCAGTTCAGGAGAGAGACGGGGGACTGTAGGGTTGGCGTGGGGCCGCTAGAGGAGCCTCACAGAGGTGAAGACATTCCTGGCCCGGGGGCTGAGGCAGGCAGAGGTCGCAAGAGGCCAAGGTGACTCCCAGGCTTCTGCTTTGGTGATCAGTGGAGACGACACTCATGAGGAGCTGCTGGAAGAGAACCAGCTCTGGGTACACTGGGGGGAGTGGGGCACGAGGGTGGCTGAGACACATGGCGTGGTGCTAAATCAGAGCCTGGGGAACCACGGAACTGCATGAAACACCCACCCAAGAACAGAAAGTGGGGTGGGAAGGTGGCCAGCAAGGAACTGGACATGGGGGACGAGAAGCAGCCAGAGCCAAGGCAGCACCATGGCGTCTGCAGAGACCTGGGCTGGGGGTGGGGACACTGAGGGCAGCAGCCAGGAAGCCACTGGTGGGAGTCTGTTGTCACTGAGCACGGAGCTGCAAGGACAGTTGCAGAATTTCCTCCCTCTCCTGTGGCAAAGCTCTTGGGTTCCCGGCCGTGCATTTGGAGGAGGCAGGCCCTCGGGCAGGCATTGCCACAGTATGGGCACAAGGAGGGGGCACCTTGCTTAGGATACAGCACAGAGCTCAGAGGAGCGGGAAGTGCAAGATCCTGGTTCCTGCAGGAGGGACTGCCCAGGGGCTGAGCCCAGTCCCTCTGCGGTCTACCTACCTCCCTGCATCCTCCCCTCCTCCCCCCTCCACAGGAAATCCACAGATGAACATGACACGGTTCTTGCCCCACACATGCCCTGTTGTAATCTAACCCTTAGCAGGATGAGGTGGGGGTCAGAGGAGTCAAGAAGACGTGGAAGGTAAAGATGGTGACCAAGTCATGAGCTCTGGGGTGAGGCAGTCCCTGGCCTTCAAGAGACATCTTTGAATCTTAGGTGACGCAAAGAATCAAAGGGATGAAGAAAAAGCCATCAAACCCTGGAGCAGGAGCCAGAAGGAGGGAAACGCTTCACAGAGCTCAAGTTGGGAGAACTGGCACAGTGCTGTGTGGACTTCCAGCTTCCAAAACTGTGCACTAGACGGCTTTATTGTGGGCGTGAGAAAGGGGCTGATGAAGCTGGGAAATGTTGTCTTTAGCTGGGTGGTCATGAGTCCAGCTGCGCCTCGGCGACGCCATCAGGAACGGAAAGGAGGGAAATGGACTCTGGAGACATCAGCAGTCTCTGCCACACTAGATCAAGAAAAATAAAGGCACGGCGTTGCTGGTGGGGTTTGCATTCCCTATAGGATACCAAAACAGAATGATAACATGCCCAAATTCAGTAGATGTCCTTCCTCAAATGTTTATTGATCCTGAAATTATATCAGGTTCTACTTGAGTGCCTTTTACAGATAGATAAACTGAGGCTCAGAGTACTTGAGTGAGTAGTCTGAGAGCCCAGTGGAAGACAGTAGAAAGGCCTCCTGCTCCTCATCACCTCTCCTTGTCTGCATGTTCCCCTAGTTTCTTCTTCAGCTGGGGGGCTGGATTTTGTCATCTGCTAAACTGGCTGGGTGTGGTAGTTAACTCATTGTGTTAATTTGAGAAAGAAATGTCCAACTAAATTGGCTCAGCATATCTCTGGGTGTGAGAGATTCACCTTAGGTAGCCCTGTTGCCCGAATAGTATAAAAGGGAAACAGAAGGAAGGCTGGCTTCTAGTTCTTCAGAGGAGCTCCAGCCTTCGTCTTCACCTTGGAGATGGTCTCCTGGCTTCCAGCACAGACTCTTCGACCTCCGGCCCAGACCATTTTGGCCTCATGATATGGATTCACAGTGAGCTCCGGGCCAGATCCTTCAACTGGATCCTTCAGATCTCCAGCACAGATTGACCTTTTGCACTCTTCCATATCCAACTTTGTCGGCAGTCATTGTAAGCCAGTCTTGTAAATTCTTATATATTTGTATATCTTGCATTAAATCCATTTCTCTAGTAAGCACTGATGCACTGAGTTTTGGGAAAACAGAATGTGGACATGTTTTTCAATATGGAGAATTTAATACAGGGGATTGGTTGAAGAGATCTTGGAAGACTGAGAAAAGCAAAAGAGGATATTGAGGCAACCAGCTAGGAACTGCATTTAGAAGCCACCACTTTTGTGACTATGAGAAGAGGAGGAAGAAATTTGAGTGATCACAACCCAGAAACTTGGAGGACAAGGACCCCTTGGTACCTGGGACCCAGGACTTCAGATCTTTGGGTGGGAATGAGTTGACACTGGCCATGGGAATGTGGAAAAGACAAGAAATTGAAATTCACCTTGGGACCACAGTTGAGCAGTTGGCTACAGCCAGCAAATATGAAGGAGCAAGACCCTTCCTCCTGTCCAATACCTCCAGCCTTCTTCTGCCCCCCGCCATTGACAGAAGCTAACGGGATTCAGACGGGAATATTCGTATGTTGAATATGAATGTGATTTGGAATCACAGCCCTGGCACCATACAGCAGAGTACAGAAGGTAGGTCCAGAGCCAAGAGGAGATAATTTAACAACCAGCCAGAGGTTCTGACTGCATATAGACTCCAGTCCTCCACAGACCTGAAGCTATTGTCTCTGACCCAGTGTGAACCCGGTATCCTGAGCCCCTGCCTTCTGATTGGCTAGTAGGAACCACCTAGAGTGGTTTAGATAAGAAATGGCCCCCAGAGTCTCAAGTGTTCAGAGGTGGGGTCTTCAGGAGGGCTCTAACTTTGTCACTAGATGAATCCTTTGATGAGGTCATAGTGTAATGTCATTATGCAGAAGTGAAGCAAATTTACAAGATGGGGCCTCACTGAAGGGAGAGCGGCATGGAGATGTGACCTCAGGGCCTGTATCTTACAGCTGGCCCCTTCCTCTCTGGCTCCATGCTCTCTCTGCTTCCTGGCTGCCGTGAGGTGAGCAGCTCTCCTCTGCTCTGCCCTTCTACCCTGATGCTTTTGCCTTGGAACCAGCTGACCATGGACTGACACCTCGGAAACTGTAAGCCAAGATAAGACTCCTTCCTTTAAATTGTTTCCATGGGTATTTGCTGCAAGGACAGAGAGCTGGCTAACATAAGAGGCAAAATGGTGTGCCATCACTTAGGAAGTACTTTTCTTATAAAGTTAAATATGCATGTGTTATACAAATCCAGCAGCCCTCGCTTAGATATTTATCCAGAAGAAAAGAAAGCACCTGCCCATGCCATCATGTGTACTTGAAAGTTTCTAGCAGTTTTGCTTCCGCTCCAAACTAGAAACAACTCCAATGTCCAGGAACTTGTGAGTAAATAACAGGCTGTGGTATAGCCATAAAATAATACTCTTTGGCAATAAAATGAAGGAATTGCTGATGTCCACCTCAACACTGATGAATTTCAACAGCATTATACTATGTGCAAAAAATCCAGGCAGAAGAAATTACCTACTCTGTTTGTATGACATTTTGGGAAGGACAACACAGAGTGCTAGAAAGCAGGTCAGTGGCTGTCAGGCCTGGAGCTGCAGGCTGCAAAGGAGCACGAGGAATCCTTGGCAATCAGAGAAGTGTCTTCCACTGTGATTATGGTGGTAGTTACATAACTGTCAAAAACCATGGAGTTGCATATTTTGAGTCTGGTGAGTTTGTTGACTGTGAATTATACTGGAATAGATCTGATTTTTAAAAACCAAATAAAATGTTACTAGAAAAGGCACTTCCTCCTCTTGCTGTCAGTGCCACCCACCTCAAGCAGTTCTGCAAAGAGCAGACAAAGGGATCTTGTAAAAGTCTAAATCCAACAATGTCGCTCCTTACTGAAAACACTCGGAAGGTTTCTTTCCTCTTTGAATGAAGTCCAGAGAACCACACTGGCCTACAAGCCCACTTGCTCTACTTACCCACCCCAACACTTAGAGAGCCCCGAGCAAGTGCAGAAAAAGAGCTCCAGGCACCATGATCCTCATTCTGCACAGTTCCAAGTCAAGCCAAGCAACTGCCAAAAAGCAAGTTGCAACCTCCACTCTTGACAAATATATCTTCATGACAACCTGGAAGGCCGGGTTCAAACTGAGAGTCTCACGACTCCTTGGAGTCCTGTGCCAGAAGCTGGCATCAACAGCCAGGTCACAGTCTATGCCCCCTCTTGTCTTTCCAGCCCAGTCCCATCTAAAACTATGAGGCTCCCTGCCAGGCCTCTGTGGAAAATTGTGTTTGCAGTCCCTGGAGGGGTGTGCTGGAGATGGAATCAGGGAGACTGGGTGCTAAATATGTTTCTCCATAAATAGTACTTGGCTCTATGTGCATGCATTCGTGTATGTGAGAATGCACATATACATGCATGTGTGTGTGCTTATGTAAGTGTGAAAGCATAGGTAAGCATTCATGTGCATGTGAATATATGCATGCATGTGCATATGTGTATATAAGCCTGTGTGGCGTATGTGTTCATTGCAATAGCAGCGTGAGCTTCTTGAAGGCAGCTGTAACATTCTGACTTGCTGCAAAGCAGGTGCGAAGTGAACGCTTGTATAGTGAATGAATGAAGGAATGCCAGTATAACAGTTATTAACAGTGTGGGGTTTCAGAGTCAGCCACAGCAAAGGTCCAAATGTCATTCTGACACTAAGTCACTTTGATTTAGTCTCCTAATCCCTCAGAGCCTTAATTTCCTCGTCTCCAGGACAGGGATAAGCATATTACTCATTTTATGGATGTGGTGTGAGGATTAAGTAACAATAATCAAAGCCAACACGTACTGAGCTGGACCTTGGGCCAAGCACTGTTTTAAGGGCTTTGCAAGTGCCAACTCATGCAGCACCCTGCAGTGTTACGGTGTTGAATGCTTACACTGAGTGTTTGAATGCTCACTGCATCGTGGTTGTTGTCATATTTATGATCAAAGGAGAGGAAGGTCAGCATCCCAAGCCCGGGAGCATCTTCTCCTGAGTTCTTTTCAGGCTCCGACTGATGGAGTTTCTGGGGGACACACTGGGTTCCAGCAGGCAACCACCCTCTTGGCCCCCTCAAGGATATCGACCCTGGGCTCTGCCGGTCCTTCGTGCTTAGACTTCCGGGAGCCTGGCTGCTGAGTCGCGGCGCCCCCTGGTGTTCAGTTTTCATCAACACTGAATTGTATCGAGTTATCCACAAGAGTAGTGGGCAAGAGTGGATGACAGATACAGGTAAGAAAGGAGAACTGAATGTGATTGGTATGTGATAGAGAGAAGCAAGGGCAGCGGGGAGAGGGAAGGGAAGTACCGAGTCATATCAAGGAAATTATCATCTACAGCCTGGCACGCAGAAGGCGTCTGGCACATAGGAGGGGCTTAAGGCATGTTGATTAATATAAGGATCCTATGAGGCAAAGGTTATTGTGACCATTTAGAAAGATGAACAAGGAGGCTCGTGGTCTGAGAGGTGGGGGCAGCTGGTGGGTGGCAGAGCCAGGGCATGTGCACTCCAGAGCCATCCGCTTCCCGGAGGAAGGGGGCGCCCTGCCTTCAGGGCACTTGCTGTCTTGCTGGCTTCCTCTGCACCCTCCCTGTCTTCAAATGCTGCCCCAGGCCTGCCAGGGCGGCTATTTATGGCTCAGGGATGAGGTCCAGTTCAGCTCCCCTCGTAAATTATAAAGGCAGACACATGTGGGCCAGGATTGGGGAATTCAGTGCGTGAGGGATCCCCAGGAATCTTGCTCAGTCTCATCAGGGATTTTCCTTCTCTTCCCCAGGACAGCAGCTGACAAGGCAGCAGGCATCTGCTGGTCCCGGAATGAGCTTCTGGCCACTCCAGGTCCCGCGGCTACAGCCCTGGGCCCTGACCTCTGTCCCCCCAGAGGCAGTTTCTTCACCCCCAAATGGGGGCTATCTCTCACCTGTGCACCCCGGCATCTCCATGAGGAAGGGTTTTTTTGTTTATTTTTTTATTTTGTTTTTTTTTTTTTTTCCGGTACCAGGAGTCGAACTCATGACCTTGCGCTTGCTAGGCAGGCACTGTGCTGTCCATGAGGAAGGTTTGCAAAATGCTTTGCTTCCTGTAACCTGCACATCCATTCCCTGTTCCGGGAGCATAGCCAGCCTTCCCCTGGCGAGAAGGTTATGAATGAACATCGTTTCGTACAGTTTGGTCCTGCAGAGATGCCCCTTCCTCTAGTATTTACTTTTGAGTTCTTGAGTCTATTTTTTTTCAGCATTCCATCCTTTCTGCCACTGTCAGACTGTCACTTAACTGTTGCCTGCCTCTGACAGCCGCTGGCGGCTCTTCCTCTCCTTCCAGCTCCCTGCTTCAAATCTCCAAGGTGACGTCTTGGGGTGTGCTCCGGAAGCAGCCTGGCAGGAAGAGAGACGACCGCGGTGCTTTCTTGTGGAAGTCAAACACACAAACTTGTATGGTGGCCTTGGGGCTCAAACTGATGGTGTTTTTGTTTGGATGGAGAGGAGGTTGCCGGAAGTCAGGTCTCCATTTGGGAGAGGTCAAGCCAGGTGTCCTTTTGTACCTGCCCCACAGCAAACACTTGCCAGACAAATGTGCCAAGAGTTGGCTCCTCTTCTGAATCATTCCGCCCCCTGCAGCAGCGACAGCAGCCAGCGGAGGACCTAGCGTGGGAGACCCGGAAAGGGATAAGGGAGCAGGCCGGGAACCGCCACAGCAGCAGCAGGACGGCCGCCCACTGCTGACAGAGTGTCTGGTCTCAAATTACACCATATCAGAGCTCTGGCATAAAATTAGCACCAGTGTTCTCTGTGAGAGGAGCCAGAGAAATACTCATATTCAGCAGAACCATGCAGGGACAGAAGAAAGAGGGAGAAGGGGCCTGGTAGGGGAAGGGACACACTCATGTCCCTTGCTACAGAAGTGGCTGCCCCGGGGCTGAATCAGGGTCACAGGAGGGCTCAGTGGTGTTGGACTAAGGGGAGGCAAGAGCTAGGGAGACCTGGAGTCATGAACTTGAGAGCTCGTCTCGCCTGAAACACACACACACACACACACACACACACACACACATACGCATACACACCCTAGAACTGAGGAAACATGAATAGGAAATGTCCAAGGGTCTTGATATGCTTCGTATACATTTTTCTCATTAATTTTTACCACAATCCCACTAAGTAAGCCTGTCTTTGCAGATGAATAAAGAAAGATTCAAAGAAAGCCTAGTGATGTGCCCGGGACAGCATCTCAAGGCACTCGTGACTATAATCATTACGTACCCACTTAGATTTGCACGTCAAAAGATATTTTTCCTGTTCACAGCATCACTGCCAGATGCATTATACAATCTTTTATAGACACAATATAAACACACACACATGCTCGCCTACACATAGTACGTGTTTGTATCCAAATGTGTGTTTTCAGCTACACACAGGATATGCTCACAGTTTACACAATCCTGGGTCAGCACGGAGCCACACCTCCTTGCTGAAATGGCTCTGTCACTCCAGTCTCTCTTGACCAATGCCTCCTCTCCCGCCAGCCGTGGCTGGCACCTGTCCCTCTCCACACTTGCAACGAACAGGCCTGTCCTCTTTCCCCTCGGTTCATGGGTGCCTCCTGTAGCCTGGCCTGGTTGGAGTGGTAGCTGGTATCATTTCTAGTTCCTCGGGTGTGAATTCTTCTCTATGTTAGGTCTGTGTGCTGTCTGTCATGGTGTACAGGTTCTTTATGTAATTCACAGTTTCGGTCTATGAGCTCCCTGCAGTCTCAGTAACTCCAATGCTTTCTCAGTGCTTCAGCCGAGGATTTCTCCAATGCACAGGCCGCTTAGATCTGGACCTCACACTGGTGCAGGTTACAGGCTTGAGGCTCTGGCTTGGGATGATGTCCCTTATTCTGGCCACAGCCTAAAAGGTACTGCAACTCCTGTGATGATCCTAGACTGATCACTGAGGAGTTTTATTCCCATAACTGGTTCTAACGTCCAGCTTCACATTGGGAGCCCAGGTTCAAATTCATGACAACGGTAGGACCTTACAGTAGCCTGAACCTGGTCTGAGGCTAGGTATTAAAATTTCAGCTCCTGGCCAGATGTGGTGGAGCACATCTGTAATCCCAGCACAAAGGAGGCTGAGGCAGGAGAATCATTATGAGTTTGAGGCCAGCCTGGGCTATATAGTGAATTCAAGACCAGCCTGAGCTACATAGTGAGACTCTGTCTCAATCAATCAATAAATTTCAGCACCAACACTCTGAAGGCTGAGGCAGGAGGATCGAAAGTTCTATCACAGGCTGAGTGATTTAGTGACATAGCAAGACCCGGTCTCCAAGTGAAAAATAAAAAAGGGCTGGAGATGTAGCTCAGTATCAATGCCCTGGGTTCAGTCCCTAATACTGCCAAACAAAACAAAACCCCTCAGCCCAATAACATGTACCGACGCCTGCTCTTCCCATGGCCTATGTGGGCCTCAAGTCCCTCTTGCTGCTATAGCAAGATTAAAACCTGCAGATGATGCATTCTTGTTTTCCAGCTGGGATTTGTATGTTTAAAATGCCAAAAAACATGTTACCCAGCACTTTTAGAATTTGGAGTGCCGTGGGAAATTTCACCTTCCATTCTTGATTTACCTCTGTAGTGCAAATGCCTCCTTCAACAAATAGTTATTGATTGAGCCTTTCTCCCCCTTTTTCTCTTTTCTTGTCCCTCCTCTGACTCCCTCCAGTTCTGGAGCAGCCTCCCAGGGAATCCCTGAAGGATGCTGGTCTGACCACACCTGTGGCTCTGCCTGGCTTGGTGACCTCACTGGGCCAGGGCTGTGGGGCTGGGGACACGGCAGGCTCCATCCTGGGCACTCGAGCTCCACCCTGGGCTCTCTTTGGGACAGAGGTCCCCTGGGGTGGCTGGGTGGAGCGGGGACAAGTTTCAGAGGAGTGGCCTGAGGCTGCCAGCAGCTCCCTGTTCTCCAGCAAGACAGCCCATAAGGGCCCTGAGGATGGGCCCTGTCCTGTGCCCTCTGTCCTGGGATGTGGGAGATCTAGGGGGAGCCCCAGGCTCCCCTGGGCTGGCTCTGTCCCCATGGAACCCTGTGCAAGTCTGACATGGGTTTTGGGGCAGGGGGCAGCAGGCCGGGCTGTCAGAAAGGCCCAGGCAGGTCGAAGTCTCTTTCGACCCACTTGCTCGTCTCTTTCACCCCCTGCTGTCTGTCCTCTCTGTGACCACAGTGCCTGTGTGCATGCGGATGTTCATATGGGAGCTGTCCTAAAACTCAGCTATGTGCTTGCGCACTGTGGGCTTCCCAGGGCTGGAAACGCCCTGCAGGAAAAGCCTGCAGCAGGGATTTCACTCTGGGTGAGAGATCTAGGAAGGCCTCGCCAAAGGGGTAACTTCCAGGCCGAGACCTGCAGGGGCCAGGAAGGGGGCCTTTCAAGCGGGGGGATGGCGCACAAGGAGGCCCCGAGGAGCAGCCCTGGAAGGAGGCAGGGGGAGGCGTGAGCCTGGCAGAGGACGTGGGAAGCCCACAGGGCCTTAGGACTCCTGAGGCTGCAGGCCAGGCGTGTGGACATCCTCCTCAGGGCAGGCTGAGATAGGAGGGCTGTGACCAGGCTTCTAAAGCTCCCTGTGGCTGGCAGCCCTGAAAAGAGGACAGGCTGGTCATGGGGACCAAAGGATGAGGTCAGTGTGGCCCAGGGTGCCTGAGGGAAGGGCACAAACCCACCTTCACACTCCGGTATGACAGAGGCCAGGGTCAGGGAGGAGGCTTTCTGCAGGAGGTGGCCTTGGGGCTGCGTCTGAGGGACGGCAGGCAGGGGGAGCCTTCAGGTTCAGCCTGGAGGAGAGCGGGGCAGAGGCTCAGCAGTGCCAGAGGGAGAGCTGGGTTTGAGGGGCCAGAGGATGAACAGTGACTCCCCAAGGTCTCACGACCCCTTGCTGGCTAAGCCAGCACCAGGACCGGTCTGTGGGAGTTCCCCATGCTCAGCTGCAGCTTGGCACCTGGGACCAGCACTGGCTCCTGCAGCCCGGGGCTGGAGGATGGGCACTTCCCCAATTGCTGTGCAGCTGGGCAAAGTGACAGGAAGTGCAAGCCCCAGGGTGGCTGGAGAGGAGCTGGGGGTGACCAGGGAGGAGCCTGAGCCGGGGCCTCCCAAGGCAGCTTCTGGGGACTCCAGGGTCACAGGCCACAGCCAGACACAGGGAGGCTGGAGGAAGTGAGAGGTGACTTCCTGCGCCACCCACCGCCATGGCCCTGGCCCAGCAGCTGCGGGCTGAGAGGTGAGTGCAGGGCGCCCCTCCGGGCCTCCTCTCTGCTCCCTGCAGGCCATGGTGTGGAGCAGAGGTGGGCCCTTCAGCAGCCCCCGACACCCTGAGGGGCTGCACTGCCTTTGAACCGATACTCAGAGCTCAGCTCCGGAACTGCTTCCCGGAACCCTGACCTGGTGACTTACCAACCTCAGGCACCAGGGAGGGGGAGCGGCTTGCCCAGGCTGTGCACCGCGTGGGTGGGGAACTGGGAGTGCAGGTGTGCAGGGCCCAGGGGGGCCTTTGCTCCAGGCATCATCGGGAAGGCTTTGTATCTGCTAGGTAAAGGGGTCACAGCCCGTGCTGTTCTTGCTTCACCTCAAGTGCCGCCTCCTCCACGACACCTTCCCTGACAGCCCCTACCTCCGCTCTCAGACCTTTCCACTCTTTGTTCTTTCTGCATTATCAGTGTCATGTTATATTCGCATGTTTTGTTTCCTCATCCTTGCCGTCATATTTATCCATCAGAAGCAAACCCATGAGGGTCTGTTTTGGCCAATGCAGTGATACCGAGCAGCACTTGTACCTAGAAGGAACTCCATAAATGTCGCTGAAGTGAATAATGCACAGGCCTCTGAGTTGGAGAACGTCCTAGATCCCTCTAGGCGGATGCTGCCATTATACAGATCAGAAAACTGAGGCCCAGGGAGGACCCAGGGATTTTCCTGGGTCTCAGAGTGAGTGGCAGGGCTGGGCCTCACCTCTCAGCAGCCAGGACACAGAATGTGACTCCTGTCCCCTGGATAGGGACAGCAGGAAGCATCAGGGCCAGGAGCCCATGTTAGCCGTTTGGGTGCTGTGGGACAGGGCCAGGCCCAGGTGGGGAGCAGAGGACCCAAGGTGGAGCCTGGGATGGAAGGGGAAGCAGGGGGGGGAATTTCCCAAGGTCTAAAATCAGAAAGGAGGCTCAGCCCCATGGAGCCGGCAGGGCAGCAGAGTGCGTGCCTAGAGGTGGGGGCTGCAGTGACCTCCCGTGGCCACTGAGGGTGGCTCTGAGGGGCTGAGTGAGGTCATCTGGATTCCAGCTCCTCTTCCCCACAAGTGCTAGGGGAGATTGAGCAAAATCAGCCCCCCGGAAGAGGCCATCGCTTGCAGCTGGGGCCGCTTCCTGCTTCAGATGATGTGAGCACTGGCCCGCAGGCCTGCGGGCTTCCTGCCTCGCACCCTGTCCCTCTGACAGCGCCCTTGGCCCTGGGAGCAGGACCTGAGGGCACAGAGGGAGCAGCTACTCTGGGCAGCAGCCTCCTTGTTTGCCCATATGGCCTGGGCACTGCCACCCAGGGACAGAGGCGGCAGCTGTGCGTTGAGCACCCACGAAGTGTCCAGTGCGCTCCTCGGCACTGGGGACCAGGACAAGCAGAGTCCCTGCCCCCACGGGACTTAGGCTGTGCTTGCTACAGATGGGGCCTCATGACCACCCAAAGACAGCACGTCCATGGTCCCCGTTTTATGGGGAGTGGAAGGGACTGGAGTACAACGAGCCATCCTCCCAAGGTTCCCTTTGGCCACAGCCCGGCAGGAATTCCACTGTACAGAGCTGGACCAGAGCCCTGCTGCCCACTGTGCTGCCTCTGCCCATAGCCGCCCTGCTCAGCCTGCCTGTGGGCTGCCTCCACCCCGGGAAGAAGCCGAGGTGCTCCTAGCGGCACAAAGCGGCCGCTTATGTGGCCGGGGGCGCCAAGCAGCCGGAAGCCACCCTTCAGGGTACTCAGCCCTGTGCTCAGGGCTCTGCAGGGTTTGCTGAGAGGGGGACGATTGCACACGCACAGTGGGCTGCGAGGGGCCTGCCTTGTCCAAGTCCACCCACAGCGGGTGGGGGCTCCCAGTATTTGGACAGAATTCTGGAGCCAGACTGCTTGGGCTCGAATCCCAGATTGCTGAGCTCCTGGGGCAACCTAGGTAACCTCTCTGTGCCTCAGTTTCTTCGTCTGTAAAACAACAGCACCTTCTTAGAGGAATGCTGAGTGTCCGGCTTGTACACAGGAAGTAGCTTGCTGTATATAGTTAGTGTTACTTAACTTGCCCCTCCAACCCCTACACGGGGCCGTTTCTCTTCCAGTTACTTCCGGGCCCTCCCCCATCTTGCTGCAAGTGAAAGACTCATGAAATACACAGCCTCTAGGGAGTGAGTGGAGAAAGTAGCTCCTCCTAGGGGAAGAAAGTGAGTGGGAAGGTTGCCCAGCAGCCGCGGAGTGCCCTGAGGCGCAGCGCGGGGATTTCCTCCTCTTGCCCACTAGTGTCCTGAGTCACTTCCAGGAGCAGTGATGGCTTCACCCAAATTCTAAGGCTGCCCTAGGTCTGGGCAGACCAGATCACACAGGGGCAGCTGCACTGGGACGCTGGGAGCCTGAGGTCCCAACCAGCAGTGAGCCCTTACGGGAGGGGGCCGCACCGCATTTCCCAATCGTGACATCAGGAGAATCACAGCCGCTTCCTGTTTCCACGTCTGTCCAAGAGCGGCTGTGGCTTCCCCACTCCTCTGCAGTCGTCTGCATTCTCACTCTGTCGGTCCCGCGACCCCCTTTGGCTCACCGACAGCTCTTCCCTGGGGTCCTAACCACAGACCACACCAGATGCTTGTCACTCGGCCACCCCACTGAGCTCCTCAGCTGTACCCCAGCCCCCTGCTGGGCACTGACCTGCTGCCCCACACTGAGCCCCTTACCCACCCTGACAGAAATGTGGGCGTCACCCTTGGCATTGCCCTTGCCTTCATTTGCACTTCCACACAGTGCCCACACCCTGCTGGTCACAATTTGTGAACAACTCACAAGTTTGTGATGTGTCCCTTGGAAACGCAGTAGGGTGCAGAGGAAAGAGGAACTGAGAGTGGCTTAGACAATGATCAGGGTATATTTTTTCACACAATAAAAAGGCCAGAATCAAGCCATTGCTGGTACCACAGTTGAGGGACTTCAGGATCAGCATTTCAGAGACTCTTTTGCTCTTCCTCATGTTTTTGCCTCATGGACACAATGTGGCTACTAGAGATCCAGATGTCACACTTGCTTTCAAGGGAGGAGAACAGGTCAGCCTTGCCCATTCTTCCAGATCAGTAAAGCAAGCAAATACCCGAGAGGCCCCTGCACCAGATTTCCTCTTAGGTCTCATTGGCCAACACAGGTCACAAAGCCACTCTCTGCTGCTCAGGAACTGAGAAACTGGACAGGATTATTACATTTGGTTCAGACCAAACATGACCTGTCACTGTGGCCCTAGGCACGTGGCACTTTGAACAGAGTTGGCACTCAGCCAAGAAGAAGTGGGGGACATGGCAAATGCTAACAGAGTCTGCCAAGGGTGGTGTTGCTGGATATAATAGCTATCTCTGTGTGGGACTCTGTGTGGGCCAGCTTCTTGTTACTATTAGACAATGCCTGAGACGAGTAGCTTATGAAGACAGCAGGTTTATTTGGGCTCACGATGCTGGAGGTGCCAGTCTGATTTTGGGTGGCCTTGTTGCCCTGAACGTCTGGCAAGGGCAGCATATCATGGCAGGAGCACGTGGCAGACCACATGGTTTACATCACAGGCCAGCTGTGAGCAGAGACGGGACGAACAGGGTCCACTCTGGGGGCCAAGTCTTTAACACATCGCCTTTGAGGGGCTCCCAGGGTACTCTGTCAATGGTGGTTGTGGCCTTGCTTACCCGGAGTACCATCCTCGTGACCAGTCCACGCCATGGCAGCCAATAAGTTAGACCATGCCCTGGCCAGTGCCACCTGATCCCCATCTTCACAAGGCCTGCTCGGTGTCGTGTTACCCACGAGGGTCTGGCACAGGGAGGGGTGCTGGTGAGGAATGCAGGGCACCCCATCGGCCTGCTTTGCGCCTGGCCTCACTCTCAGCAAGCCTGGAGCTCAGCAGTGGTAACCAGGATCCTTCCCTCTTCCCCCACTAGCGACTTTGAACAGCTTCCAGATGACGTGGCCGTATCAGCTAACATCGCTGACATCGAAGAGAAGAGGGGCTTCACCAGCCACTTTGTGAGAGCGACCCCCGCCCCTTCGCCCTCCGGCCTCTGAGCCTCCTCTTCTTGGCCTCTTAACTTCTATCTCTCCATTTTCAACAGGGCCAATTTGACCCTTTGGGGGACATTGGCCAATACCCTGAGGCATTCTCACCGCTGTCTCTTGGAGTGGGGCTGCCGCTAGCATCTGGTAGGAAGGAGCAGAGGGAGGATCTGGGAGGGTTCGGAGAGCGATGGGGAGAACCCAGAGGAAGAGTCCAGGAGGGAGTTTGGGGGATCTGTGGTGAGGATCCAGGGGAAGAATCCAGGGGGATCAAGCAGGGAATCAGTAAGGCATCTGAAGGGATCTGTAGAGGACCAGAGGGCCTGGGGAGACCCATTGAAGGTGGGGGGAATGCAGCGGGGCTGGGGAGAGGGCCCAGGGTTGCTGCTATACCTGCAGCAGGGCACAGGCTCCCCGGTGAAGAGTTATCCACCAGGTGCAGTGCTGGGGTTGAGCATCCACTCTCTCTCTCTGTGACCTCGGAGCCTGCAGCCTCTGTCTTCCAGCTCCTCCCCAGCCTGGAGCCCCCTCCCTCCGCCCCTGAGCCCTCCTCGCCTCTGCCCTCCTAGGTCTTTGTCATCGAGGTGAAGACAAAAGGAGGATCCAAGTACCTCATCTACCGCCGCTACCGCCAGTTCTACGCCCTGCACAGCAAGCTGGAGGAGCGCTACGGGCCAGAGAGCAGACGCGCCCCAGCCACATGCAGCCTGCCGGTGCTGCCAGGTATGGTGCCAGGCCCCGCCTGCCCCTGACCCCACCGTGCTTCCATCTCAGCCCACGTGGAAACCCTGGCTTTGGGCTGTGACCCCACTTCCGGTAGTCAGAACCATTAACCCTCCCTCTCTGCTGCCATTTCTGTATCTTCCAGGATGCCCTCTTGGAGCTCTTGGCCCCTGGTGGATTTTTCTTATTTTTAATTTTTTGTGGTATTGGGGATTAAACTCAAGGCCTTCACACTGTGCTACATTCCCAGTCTTTAAAATAATTTTTTTTTTTAAATTTTGAGACAGGGTCTTTTTAAGTCACAGAATTGCCAAGGCTGGGCTTGAACAGATTCTCCTGCCCCAGTCTCTCAGAGTGCTGAGATGACAGGTGTGCACCACCACACCCACTCCCTGATGGTCTTTTCAGCCTCCCTGATTCAGCCACCCACCTCTCAGGAGGTCCTAGCCTGGGGCATGCCATCATCTGTCCCTCTGCTGGGGACAAGAGTCCCTCTCCCTCTTAAACACACTGCACCACAGCTCTGCTTCCGCAGTGCCCTGAGGCGCACCTTCCCTCGCCCTCCTGTAAGTGGGGCACCACTCTCCTGCTCGGACAGTCCCCTCACCCACATCTTGTCCTCCTTCCCTGCCCTCCTCTGTCCTAGTACGTACCTTGGACAGCTCCAGCAAACTCTGACTTCACAGTTCCTGTGCTGCCATTTGACCCTTAAGAGAAAACTCAGCACCAGTGAGTGGAGTGGGCTCAGCAGGGTCCTCCACGTCCTGCAGGACCAGTCTGGACACTGCTTGTCACCCTTCCTAGGTCTCGGAAACCCTGCCCGACTTTCCCTTCTTCCCAATCTAGTCCCAACCCCACTGTGGTCCAACCCTCTAAATCATTCATCATCTATCGTCTATCTATCTATCTATTATCTATCTATCTATTATCTATCTATCTATCTATCTATCTATCTATCTATCTATTACCTATCATCATCTATCATCTATTATCTATCATCATCATCTATCTATTATCTATTTATCATCATCTATCTATCATCTCTCCATCTATTATCTATCTATCATCATCATCATAAATCATCTATTATCTATCATCATCTATCATCTATCATCATCATCATCATCTTCTATCATCTATCTATCCATCTATCTGTTATCTATCATCATCTTCATCAATCATCATCTATGCATCACTCATCTATCTATCTATCTATCTATCTATCTATCTATCTATCTATCTATCATCTGTCTCTATCATCTCTAACTCAGTCAATGAGCACATTCAGCTACCACAACTCATTTTCCCTTCTCCTTCCTTGGGCTACAGTAGGCGGGGAGGAGCTCACCCGCTGGAAGTGACCTCTCCTCTTGGTCCATCCTTCCCCGTGGTCCTGTGGGTTCCTCGATTCTGTGCCTCTGCACCGTGATGAGCATTTAGCTCATCTGTCTTTAAGCCAGCAGGGGCCACAAAGAAGCACTCTCACAGCAAGCCTCCCTACATCCTCGAGTCCCCAGAGTCCCCCAAGAGCTCTTTTCCCTTCCTTTACCCATAAATCTCCTCTCCCTGCATCCTCTCCACACCACCTTATCTGGCTGTGGCTCTTACTGCTTCACCCAAGCTCCTGCGGGCACCACAGTTAGGAGGTGTCAGTCTGATTCTGGGAACACATTCCCAGCATTTGCACATGCCTGCTTCTTCCTCGGCTGAGCACTCTGTTCTCCAACCTTCCAAGGCTCCAGGCCTCCCAGCTCTGCTCCTGTCTTCTTGGCCACTGCTCCAGCTTCTTAGTCCAGAATCTGCTGTCTTTGCTGCTCAGAAAAGGTCAGTCTCTGGCCTTCCCTTGCCTGAATCTTGTCTTCTCCTTCTAATGGGAGAGCTGGCTCCTGCCTGTGGCCTTAACTGTCACCTTCTTACTACTCTCCAATGTCTGCTCCAGCCCAGACCCTGAGATGCCACCCTCTACCACCACCAGCCCTGCTTGTCTCACGGTGCTGGGGCCAGTGAGGTGCCGTGCTTGCCCCTTGTGAGACTCGCTGGGTGTTGAGGACCCCAATGCCTTGCCTGATGGCTCCTGCAGAAGACATTGGTCTTGGTTGGCTGTCACCTCCTTCCTCTGCTTCCAAAACAGGCTTGGTTTTAATTTATTTTTTTGAGAGAGTGTCTCCTTATGTAGTTCAGACTGGCCTTGAACTCACTAAGTAGCCCAGGCTGGCCTTGAACTTGTGATGATCCTCATGGGTCAGCCTCCTGCGTGCTGGGATTACAAGCACTCACCACTATACCCAGCTCTTCTTTGCTTTTGAGAATTGATTCATTCATCCACCCAAAAAGTATTCACTCCTCGGGGTATGACTCCGGATCCAGGTTCTTAACCTCAGTGGCATAGACAAAGGATCTAATGCCCAAGGAGCCCCACCAAGAGGTCCCCATAGAGTTGTCCTGGGGTGAGTCTACTGTGGTGTGATGTTTAAAAAGTGCCTCAGGTGACTTGTGCGTCAACGGTTGATGAGCTCGGTCCTAGGTGAGTGGAGGTTCAGCTGTGGGCTGAACAGGCCAAGATACCATTCCCTTGGAACTCAGAAGTGTGTGTGTGTGTGTGCGCGCGCGCGTGTGCGCGCATGCATGCACACCTGTGAACACACGCAATAACAAACAGGACGAATGTCAGCAGTCAATGGTGCAGGTCAGGGGAATGCCGCTGAGTGGTGCCACTGCCAGACTGGCCACCTTTTTGGCATGGAAAGATAAAGGGAAGTGCTCCAAGCCAGTGGGATGGGGCTGGAGCCAGGGCGCTGATCTGCAGCATGGTGCTCCAAGGATGGCTCAGAAGACAGCTCTTCTCTCCTTAGCCAAAGTCTTTGTGGGTGTGAAGCAGGAGATTGCGGAGATGCGGATTCCGGCCCTCAACGCCTACATGAAGGTACCGGTAGCCCATAGCCTGTGTGCTGGGAGAGGCACTGCCCTGGGCATGACGTGGGAACCAGCTGGCTCTCTGGCTCCCTTTTGGCCTGAACTTTGGCCCTAAGGGCCTGGCTTGGGGACAGAAGCTGGATGAGTAGTTAGGGCTCCATGGATTGGGGCAGAAGCAAGGGGAAGGTGCAGGGAGCCACGCTTTCAGGGGACAAATCTCCACTCAGCACTCCAAGCCCACAGGCCAGTGTCTGTGCCACTGTGCAGATACAGTGGTGAATTAGGCCCAGTGCTTGCCCTTAGGTGCCCAGTGGGAACAAGGACAGGTGGACCTGTCCCGTGGACACATGGATACGCCCACGCCAGGGGCAGGACCATCCAGGCCACGCCACTCATGTAGCTCCTTGTGCAAACCAGAGAAAGGTCTCCCTAGGCTGACACAGCCCCCCGCCTGAGCTCAGGCTGGATTTTCGCTGCGCTCACTGTTCTGTCTGGACACCCTTGCGTATTCCCCAACCTTCAACCTCTCTGCATCCCTAAGACATGGGCCACAGAGGGAGGCGCTTCCTGAAGGCAGTGGCCAGGGTGGTCTGGGAAAGACTTCCACCAGTCAGAGCCAAGAGGGAAAGAATGGGGTTCCTCGTGAGGTAGTGAGCACCCGGTCACTAGAGGCATTCAAGCTATGGCTTAAGAGCAATCTCAGGAAGGTGGGAGGGGAGCCGTCCTCATAGCCTGCAGGTGCCCTCGCAGCTGAAGAGCACGGAACCAGGAGTCTTATCTCAGCTCTGATGTGGACGGCTGGGTAAGGTGGGGCAACTTGACCCTGCTCTCAGAGAGCCTCCGGTTTTCTCACCTGTGAGCTGGGTCAGCGCCTCCCACCTCTTACTCACTGGTTAGGATCTGCGGAGAAAAGGACGGGAAAGTGCTTTGTGAACCTCAATCTGCTTGCGACAGCTCAGGACTCCTCAAAGAGGCAGGAAGAGGAAGGCAGCAGGGGGCAGCAGGGCAGGGGGTAGCAGGGCAGGGGCCTGGCAGTGGTTCCGGGAATTCTGGGCTCTGAGCAGGAAAGAGGGAGGGAGGGAAGCCAGTGGGCTCCAGCACGGATGGCGCTGCCCTCAAGGGAGCACTCTGACCACTGCAGGTGGCTGACGCTCCAGTCTCCCGCTGGGCTGGTACAGGGTGAAGGATCAAGGAGCATATGGGAGCAGAAGCTGAAAAACTAGGGGTCCTTGCTGCATAGCAACAAGCGTCTCAGGGGACCCCCTCTCTGTTTGTGTCTGATTGGAGTCCTGGGAGTAGAGGTCTTCAGTGCAGTGACCCCCGCTATAGCCATGCCATCCTGCACTTGCACACCTTCAGAGACAGGGAGCTCACTACTAGTCTGCTCCATCTAGGATGCTTGTTCCACTGCTGGATAGCTACAAGTAGAAGCCCAGTTCCTTATAAATTTCACCCCTGGTCTCACCCCTTCCCCATGAAGAACACGAGTCACATGGTCACCGGAAAGTTCGCTGGAACCATGTGCAGTGCTTTGACCAGCAGGAGACTCTTGGTAGACCTTTTTGGGGTAAATGGATCGTTTTACTCAACCCCCTCCGTAGCTTATGACTTAGCTGCTATGATCCCCATTTACAAAGGGAAAAAAGAGGCACGAGGGGTGAGGCTACCGAGGTGTCACAGAGCACCTGGGTAAGAGGGAAGGGACTTGAGCCTCATCTGTGACTCAGGCTTTGACTCTTACCCCCTGGGCTAGGACACAAGAAGGTGACAGCAAAGATGAGAGCGTCCTGCTTGGATGGGTGCTGTGCATAGGCCTGGTGGTGTGCACTAATGAGTTATTTAATCCTCACGCAACCCCACCAGGAAGATGCTATTATTGTCCCCCGTTACGAATGAACACCCAGTGCCCCGCAGGTGAATGGCAGAGCTGGGGTCCATGCCAGGAGCAGCCCGGCTCCTCATGCCCCTCCCCTCCCTGTGTCCCAGCCCAGTCTTTCCAGGCTCCACCCCACAGTGTTTCTGGGGTGATCCCCCCCACTGCAGCCCCCATGGGATCCTCGAAGAGCTCTGGGTGTCTCTGGAGCTGTGGCCTCCACGCCCACCTCTGAACACCCGGGGCCTGGGCAGTGGGGGGCTGCCCACCGGGCTGGGACGCCACATCTTCACAGCATCCGGGGCTTCACCCAGTGGTGAGTGTAGCCAGCACAGGTGGAGTGGGAGTCTGCAGCTGGAGCCCGCACCCTGCCACTTCTCAGCTGTGCTCTTGAGCAGGCACCTTGCCTCTTTGAGCCTGTTTTCCCAATTATGAGATGGAAGTGTCAGGAAGCATTTTCTAGGCGACAATGCCATTGTCTGTTATTAATTTAGTTGTTTTGGGAATTAAGAGGTGGGTTTCAGCAGCTGAGGGCTCTGGGTGCCCTGGCTCTTTCACTCTAGGCTGTGTGGCCCTAGGCTGCTGCCTTCTCTCTCTGATCCTCACTAATGGATCATGATGAGAGAGACAGAGGTTACACACGTGGTACTCAGATCAGTGCCTGGCACAGCCAGCCCCGGGTCAGGGTCCCTATCCTCGCTGTTTCTGGGGAACTTGAGGTGTTTCCAAATACACTTCCCTCATCCAGGGGTCCCCCTATCAACGTGGTGGCCAGGAGTAAAGTTACCTCCAGGCTGCTGAGCCTCAGAAAGTCTTTTCTGACTGATTTCTGTCCTTGGGAATGAGATGCATTCGTGGAGACAGGGAAGGGCTAGCGTCAGGGCACAGGGACAGGACGGCTGGGCTGGGATTCCCTTTCTGCTGACCCCCCGTCCTGCCCCTCACCCCACAGAACCTCCTCAGCCTGCCGGTCTGGATGCTGATGGACGCCGATGTCAGAATCTTCTTTTACCAGTCGCCCTACGACGCGGAGCAGGTGCCGCAGGCGCTCCGCCGGCTCCGCCCACGCACCCGCAAAGTGTGAGTGGCTGCCCCGGCGGACACCTCCTGCCCCCGGCACGGGAGAAGGAGTAGGGCCAGTTCTGCTCCCGCACGCTCCAGCGTGGTTGGCGTATTGGATGAGTCTGGAGAACTGAATTTGGGGCCGTCAGGGCGTGTTCTGCCTTGTGGTGGTCAGGCCTGCAGGACCGGGATCAGGATAGCGGCGCAGAAGGATCCCGTGCCACAGCAACCGCTAGGGGTTACTCCAGGGCTCTGGCTGCCTGGAAAGGGGGGACCTGGCAGGGAAGAAACTCAGTGTAAACCACCCCTCCTCGGACACTTTGTCCCTGGTGTTAGGGCTTCCCTGGCCAGCAGGGGCCTCACCCTCCTGTCAGGGGACACAGCTACTCCTTCTTCCCAGGAGGCAAAGACCCTGCTGCGCCCTCCTGCCTCACTCCAGCAGAAAATGCCACCCAAACTCCGAGCCACCCACTGCACCCACCCAAACTTCCAAAGCCAACGCTGCTGCCTGTGAGAATTCCAGGGAAGAAGCAGACATGGCCTCCACACCTGTAATCCCAGCACTCCCGAGGCTGAGGCAGGAGGATCATGATTTTGAGCCCAGCCTGGATGACTTAGGGAGACTTTGTCTAAACAAACAAACAAACCAGAAAAGACAGGACAGGCGTCCCGAGCCCAGCCTCCCTCCCAGCTCTCTCTTTGCTCTGGCCAGTGTGTCTGTCTCCAGCTCTCGGCTTTTGGCATCCCCCTGTGTACCCAGGCAGGTGTGGCCCAAACCCCAGCTGCATCTCCTGGGGCAGGGCCTGTCACATCTCCAAGCCTTTGTTTCCCCAGCTAAAAATTTTAGCTGAGAGTGGCTGTCAGGGGCAGGAGAAAAACAGTGGTGGAGGCTTCGTAAGCTGAGGGCACCAACAGAAGGGTTTCCCTCTTCCCAGCCCCCTCTGAGCCTCTTCCGGGCCCATGTGGGGTCAGGGGAGTCTCACCTCCGGGGTGCAGGGAGAGTGACCGGGTAACCATGGGGTAAGCACAGGTTCCTGCCAGGGAGCAACCGCACTGCACTTTAAATCCTCTCTCTCCTGCCTTTCCTGCCCATGCCAGGGTCCCTCTGAGAGCAGAGGCAGGAGCATTGGAGGCTAATGACCCCCTCTTCTCTCTCCACAGCAAGAACGTGTCCCCCCAAAGCACCAGCTTTGACCGTCTGGAAGCTCCGCGTGCAGAGGTACCCTCCCCCCATGGTGGCAGGTGCTGGTGGCTGGGGGGTGACAGCCAGTCCTTGGACACCTGGAGCCGCCATCCTGCTGAGGGGAGAGCAGAGACCAGCAGGGAGGGGCAGGGGAGAAGGCGTCCATCCTTTGCTCAGCCAGACGGCTGGCCTGGGTCTCCTCAGGGTGGGCCCTGCCTCGGGGACTGATGTCTCAGAGACAACTGAGATAAAGCTTTGTCCCGATCGCCTCACAGCATGCTGGGGATAGACTCACAGATGGTGAGGGCAGTGCCTGGGGGAGAGCAGCTGGGGCTGGGGACGCTGGGTGGGGGCTTGGAACCAATTCTAGCCAGAGCAGCTGGACCACACACACACACACACACACACACACACACACACACATGCACGCACACACACTGTGTGCTCACCCAACCAGCTCCAAGCAGCCCTCATCTGGAGCCAAGTCTCCTCCACTAACAAATGGAAAGACCTCGGACAAGGCAGTCATCCTGGCTGAGCCTCAGTTTCCACACCTGTAAAATGGGATACAGAAGGATGTAAGGAAGTTCAGCAAGAGCTTGGTACATGTTCTGTCCCTGTACACCCTGCTCTTCTCCCCAGGCCCTGTTTGACTTCACGGGAAACAGCAAGCTGGAGCTGAATTTCAAAGCTGGGGATGTGATCTTTCTTCTCAGTCGGATCAACAAAGACTGGCTGGAGGTGAGCAGGAGGTGGGACGGAGGGAGGGCGGAGGTGAGGGAGGGAGAGTAGAAGGGAGGTGAAATCATGTTAGGTGTGTTTGGTGGGGCCAGGGACTTAGGCAGGGCCAGGGAAGGCCTTGGGGAAGATAGCAGGTAGAGACGCCCAGCAGGTTTGGGGAACCTGCAAGAACCCAGGCACCGGGGGGAGAAGCTGCGGGTGGAAAGAGAAGATTCCGGAGTCTATGGCCTTTCCTGTGGTTCTGGCTCCAAAGCTCATGTCCCTTTGGGCACAGACGTTCACCACCCGAGTTTATTTCTTCGTCTTCACCGGGGCTTCTTAGCAGGGGCACCCTTGACAGTTCCTGGGGGGAGGGGTCCTGCAGAACCTGGGGTGTTTAGCAGCATCCCAATCATACAGGTCCCCAGACATTTGCTCCTGGGGACAGAATCACCCACAGCGGAGAAGCACTGGTCTATGATATGGGACACCATGACTCACCTTGCTGGTAGCAAAGAGATTGTAATTAAGAGCATGAGCCCTAGAATCTGCCTGCGGCAGTCATTTCCTAGCTCTCTTTTGTTTGTCTGCACATTCATTTTGCTTTTAAAGGTCTTGCTAGGCTGCTCAGGTTGGTCTGGAACTCATAGGCTCAAGTGACATGCCCGAATGGCCCAGACCACAATCGTGTGCCATCATCCCTGGCTCCTAGCTGTGTTGTGAACTAGCCTTGTGAACCTTTGAGAACTTGCCTGGCCCTTCAGTGTCCTTTCCTGTAAATGGAAACAGCACTGACAGGTTCCTCCCAGCTCCCTGGAGGGGAAGCTGGTACAGATGAGCAGGGCTTGTTCGCACAGAGCCTGGGTGCCTGGTGTCTGACAGGTGCAAGGGTCCTGGGGTGACTTGGATGAGACTTGGAAGCTGAGACCTGTTCCAGTCTTTGTTTTGTCCCAGCATGGCCCTAGAAGGGACCCATATTTACTCAGTAAAAGGACATCAGGGACCACAACGCAGAAGTTCTGGCCCTTTACATCAGATCCTATTGTCTTTAAAGAGATGCTCTTTGCTCAGTGCCCTTAGGCTGTACCTAAAAGAGGTTCTAGGACAGGCTGAGGCAGGTCCAGCTCCAGGGGCCCTGGGACCATCACCACTAGGGGTGGAGTGGGGTCCCTGAGGACCAGAGGCTGGAGAGGAAAAAGAAGCATCTGGTGCAGGGGCCCGGAGCTCTGTTGCGAGAACTCAGCACCTCTCACAGCCACCGGAGTGTCAGCTCCGGTCATTGTGCAGAAAGGGGAAATGCTACTGCCTTCCTGTTTCCTGGAAAGCCCTACATGTCCAGATGCTGGTCGCCTTCCGGCTTCAGGTTGCAGGGGTCAGGGGAGAGGAAGGGGCCACAGCGGGCTTCAGCGTATGTGTCTACAATAGCTCGTGAGGCAGGCCTCTTCCATCCTGCCGTCAGGGAAGTAGGTGACCGCGTGCTGCCCGTGCAGGCAGGGAGAGGCCAGGGCTGGAGGAAGGGATTTCTGGCTGTTCAGTTTTCACAGGGGGGCAGTGGTGTCTGGGGAACGATTGAAAGAGTGAGGGTCACCATCCGGCCCCTCCACTCCCCTCGCTGTCTCCCTCTCTGGTCCTGTCTCCCTCCATCACATCTGCCTCCCTCTGGTCTCTACACAGACACCTGTGGGTCATCCTCCACTGTAACAGATGCTCCAGGCAGGCACAGACACTAGTCTACCCCTGCCCAGAATCTGCACACAGATGGTGCTCAAGAAGTCTTTGTTGAATGGATGAATGAATAAGTGAATGAATGAATGAATGAATAAGGGGCCATGGTGGCACTATCCCCCTCGAGGGCATCCAGTGATCTAAAGACCTCCCATCAGCCTCCACCTTTTAAAGGCTCCGCTCCCTGGGGACACCTTAAAAACAAGAATTTGGGGGCAATCGGACCCAAACCACAGCACTTGCCTTCTATGGAAGGGGGCCAGGATGTCACCTGCTTTCATCCTCATCATGGCCCCAGGCCTTTGGTCCCTCTCTGCTGCAGACCAGGCAGCCCCTTTTTCCTCTTCTTAGGGCACTGCCAGGGGAGCCACAGGAATCTTCCCAGTCTCCTTTGTGAAAATCCTCAAGGACTTTCCTGAGGAGGACGACCCCACCAACTGGCTGCGCTGCTATTATTACGAAGACACGATCAGCACCATCAAGTTCGTGGCAGGCTGGGAGAAGGGGTTGGGCTGCCCTTCCTGCCACCCTACCACCCCCGTGCCCCAGACACACTCTCATGTTGCGCTCCCACCCTGCAAAGCCTGCTGTGCTCCCACAGTCTTCCAGATCGGTCCAGCCTCACTCCCAGTCCCTGCCCTGACCCATGTCCTTGCCCAGGCTGATGTCTCTCTCCCTTGCCTGTTGCCCTTAGGGACATCGCGGTGGAAGAGGACCTCAACAGCACTCCTCTATTTAAAGACCTGCTGGAGCTGATGAGGTGAGGGGCCTGGAGTGGAGGACAGAGGGGTCAGTTGCCTGGAGCTCAGACTGGGGAGCACTGCTGCACCCTAGGGTGCAGGGATCTGAGTTCATCTTGCCCTCTTGCTGTGCCCATGGCCCTGCAGGCTGGGCATTGTCTACCGGGAGAGAGAGGGCAGAACAGAACAGTGGAAGGGCAAAGGGACCGGCTGAGGTGACACAGTGTGTGACCATAGATTTGTACCAGAACCAAAGTCTCTGTAG